TCCCATGTTCATCCCAAAACAGCCTTGCAAAGTGATCATAAAGTGAAATTTCAATGATCACCTGGATCTTGGTGAACGCACCAAGCCTTTGGTTTCTGCCTAAGGCTATGCAATATTGTATGCATCCATGTCGATCCGCTTTGAGGCCCATTACCACCCAACCATTTTTAGCGTTACATTTGGTTACTGGGTACGAACCTGTCGCTTCGTATTTATGCATTTTGGATATGCATTTTCTGTGCTAATTTGCGCGCCGCAACGTACGATTCTCCTTCACACTAGCTCTCTTAGAGCCCCTTGCAAGTGATCTCTCTACCGTTCATTTGCGGATGGTCACTTCTATGAGACAGTCTTCCCGTCGTTAGGGCGAGATAAGAACGTCAACGTTCCTGTAGAACGACACGAATTTATGTGGACGTTACCCACTGTGTCTCATCTTGATATGCGATGAATTCTAGCTTCAAGAATGTTGCTCCAGACACATTCCTCTGATCTAGCTAAAGTGACGAGATCATATACTATCCCGAAGTGTGTGTCGCCCTTAAAGGACGGTTTGGCCGTGTGTGTTGGATGACTCGGTACACCAGCGGATAGCCAATTAATCTTTCTTGGCCTGAAGCACGATAGATCACTCGGTTAATAGGATTCACTTCCCTAGAAGAGGAAGGTCACGACACAACATGAATCTATACTCGACCGATGTCTCAAATAATTTTCATCTCATAAGATTAATCCGGATTACTCCCGAGACTTAAAGTTCTTAGTCCAGTATACTAGTTTGGATGAGATAATGGAATTGGAATGAGATTATCATCAATGATGTTTTCACTTATATGGTAGCTACCGACATAAATGAAAAGAGACGGTGTTAAATCGTGTTCCGTTGATTAGTGACAACGTAGAACTAATTGGACAACCGAAATTATAATCTAGGTTAAATTCCTCACCAAAGTATGTTTCGACTTATCATTCCTACACTACTTAAGGTAACCTTGTCGTGTTACTAATGGGAAAGGAAACGTAATGAGATGAATGAAATAGTGCGATATGATGCACGCCTTATGGCGCAAGTTTTCTCTTAAACGCCCTAGGATTGATTGTAGCATTACGAATGTGGTTAGAGTTTCTCCATGGGGATATAGATATGAAGATTACATGTAAGTTCTTGAAGAATTACATAAACTGGTTCAAATAGTTTCAAAACCATAGAACACCCTCTCAACTTGTTTTGAGGCATTCACTTATGGATTGAAGTAATCCAGCGGATGTGGCATACCCGTTTAAGTAATTATTTGATCAGTCAGGGATATGAATGAATACCCTTGCGTGTGAAATTATGAAGTCTTATTCTGAATTGCTAGAGTTACAGTTTATGTTCATGACATGAATCTCACTAAGACTATGGAAGAGCTTGAGAAAATTGTCTTGCATCTGAAGACAAAATTTGAAATAAAGGATCTTGGGAAAACATGTTTATGCCTTGACTTGAAGTTGAAGCATTATTTTGACGGTACTTTGGTTTACCAGTCGAACTACACCCTGAAGGTGTTACCTTTTGAGTATACCTATGATCTTCTAATGCTATATGCAAATGAGACCCTTGAAGAAGTTATGGAATCCAAAGTTCCATATCTGAGTTCAACTTTGCGCTTTGTTGTACTTAGCTCATTGCAATTAGAAAGGACATCTCTTTTGCTGTTGATCTATTGGTAAAGATACAATACTGCGCCTACACATAACCACTGAATTGGTATTAAAGATGTTTTTTTGCTACCTTGAAGGTGCTACGGACTTGGGCTAATCCTAATGCATCCTGAGAGGATCCGATCCCCCTTGATCCTTGGAATGATATTGGCCTTGTTTGTTATGCCGGCACAAGACACATCCCCAAATGGTTATGTCCTTACCGTTAGGGATATCGCAATATCTTGGAGGTCCATGATATGACCTTAATTGCGAAATCTTTGAATCGTTCCAAGACTCACCTTACTTCACTACGCCACACGTGAGACATAGTTGAGAGCTCTTGTTAAGCATATTTGAAGTACTTGCTGTTTTCATCCATTGTTGAGTCCCAACGACGATCCATGAAGACTATGCCATATGTATCAACCTAACCAAGAGATGATACAGGAAAGAAGTCAAGCCAAGACATATTGCGTCTACATGTACATTAGCAAAGCATTAGGAGATTTAAGTCATGCAAGCTGATCCTAGACAACTTTGCTGACCTCTACACGACGTCATTACCGAAGTCAACCTTCCAGAAGCTTGTCCGCGGAATTGTTATGTCTAACTATTCATATGCAATGCTTGTAGTTCTCATTTGGAAGTTTCGTCACACTCATGGGGAGTATCCAGAAATATACTCACTTGATCTTAATGTACCTTTTCCCCTACTATTAGGAGCGTTTTTCCCACTGGGTTTTTGCTATCTAACTAGGTTTTGACGATGCTCCCATCCTGGGCTGGTCATATCCTTGTGAGCTATTCTACTTGTGTCCAGAAGAAGTATAGTTTTGACTGAATGCAACTTCTCACTTTTCGCTTTAGTCTACGGGTTTTTCTCTTACCTTGGGTTTTACCATAACAAGGCGTTGTGAGTTTTACCTTTTATGCATTCTTCCGTTGATTTGAGACTCGTATTCACTCATTGTGCCGACGACTTAATCAACTGATCTACTTCATTGCGAAGACCTAATGCACCATTTGTTTGAGTATTTACACACTTAATGGGGAGTGTTACAGTCCTATTAGATTAGGAATGTGATTGTGTAAATCCTAACATATCTAGGATATCCTTATGAGATTCTGCTATATCTCTTAGACTAGATATTATTTTATTAGAATTGTAATCCTATTAGGGTAATGATTTAATCTTCCCTACTACTATAAATAAAGGCACAATAGGGTGAAATAACACACACCTCACAATTACACATCTATCTTTTCTTTCTCTAGGTGACGCACCCTTTTTTTATTTTTTGTCCTTTATATGATTTAGTAAATTAGGCCAACAACATCCCGAAGTGTGTGCTGCCCTTAAAGGACGGTTTGGCCCCCTGTGTTGGACAACTCGGTACACCAGCGGATAACCAATCAATCTTTCTTGGCCTGAAGCACAATAGATCACTCAGTTAATATGATTCACTTCCCTAAAAGAGGAAGGTCACAACATAACATGAATCTATACTCGACTGCTGTCTCAAATCATTTTCATCTCAGAAGATTAATCCGGATTACTCCCGAGACTTAAAGTTCGTAGTCTAGTATACTAGTTTGGATGAGATAATGAAATTGGAATGAGATTATCATCAATGATGTTTTCACTTATATGGTAGCTACCGACATAAATTAAAAGAGACGGTATCGAATTGTGTTCATTTGATTAGTGACAACGTAGAACTAATTGGAAAACCGAAATTATAATCTAGGTTAAATTCCTTACCAAAGTGTGTTTCGACCTATTGTTCCTACACTACTCAAGGTAACCTTGTCGTGTTACTAATGGGAAAAGAAACGTAATGAGATGAATGAAATAGTGCGATATGATGCACGCCTTATGGCGCAAGGTTTTTCTCAAACGCCTTATGATTGATTACAACATTACGAATGTGGTTAGTGTTTCTCCATGGGGATATAGATATAAAGATTACAAGTAAGTTCCTGAATAATTACATAGACATGTTCAAATAGTTTCAAAACCACTGAACACCCTCTCAACTCATTTTGAGGCATTCACTTATGGATTGAAGCAATCCAGCGGATGTGGTATACACGTCTAAGTGATTATTTGATCAGTCAGAGATATGAATGAATGCCCTTGCGTGTTAAATTATGAAGTCTTATTCTGAATTGCTAGAGTTACAGTTTATGTTCATGACATGAATCTCACTAAGACTCTGGAAGAGCTTGAGAAAATTGTCTTGCATCTGAAGACAAAATTTGAAATAAAGGATCTTGGGAAAACTCATTTATGCCTTGACTTGAAGTTGAAGCATTGGTCTGACTGTACTTTGGTTTACCAGTCGAACTACAACTCAAAGGTTTTTCCTACTGGGTTTTTACTACCTAACTAGGTTTTGACGAGGCACCAATTTTGGGCTGGTCATATCCTTGTGAGCTATTCTACTTTGATCCATAAGACGTATAGTTTTGAATTAATGCAACTTCTCACTTTTCATCTTAGTCTATTGGTTTTTCTTCCACCTTAGGTTTTACCATAGCAAGGTTTTGTGAGTTTTACTTTTTATGTATTCTTCCGTTGATTTGAGACTCGCATTCACTCATTGTGCTGATGACTTAATCAACTGATCTACTTCATTGTGAAGGCCTAATGCGCCATTTGTTTATTTAAACACTTAAGGTGGAGTGTTGCAGTCCTATTAGATTAGGAATGTGATTGTACAAATCCTAACATATCTAAGATATTCTTATGAGATTCTACTATATCTCTTAGACTATATATTATCCTATTAGAATTGTAATCCTATTAGGGTAAGAATTTAACCTTCCCTACTACTATAAATAAAGACACAATAGGGTGAAATAAAACATATCTCACAATTACACATCTCTCTCTTATCTCTCTATGTGACACACTCCCTCTTTTTGTCCTTTATATGATTAAGCAAATTAGGCCTATAACATTTTCCTCATATACACTTATATTTTATTATATTTGCTATTTTGAAATAAAATGGTACTTGATGTATGAAAGTGAAATGTTTTAAAGTTGTTGTATGAGGTTGTAATAGACTTCAAACATGAAGGGCTATTATGTAATTTACCCAATATTTTATTATATTTGCTAATTGTATTCGATCTAAACAACAGATGTCAAAAAAAAAAAATCGTGTGTGAAAATCAGCTCTCAGACAAAAATCATTGTCTCGTCTCTTGAAGAAACACCAGCACTGCTGCCAGCAGGAGCCGCCAGCACTGATGTAAAAATAAACCGGTGAATCTTACAAGTTAAAAATGACCAAGAAAAAAAAGAAGGAGATAATGTATTTTGAAAGCAGAAGAAGATAATGATAATGTAGATAATTCTGTAGAGGGTTTTAGAGTATATTCTTCGTCTCTCTTTCTCTATCTAGTAAAATGGTATCTTTCTCTCTTTCCTCCTCCTCCTCCTCTTCTTCTTGTCTGAAACTCTTCTCTCACTCCCAGTTCACCATTACCACCCTCTCCAATCTCTCTGGCCACAAAAGAAGGTCCGATTCCAGCTGCCGCTTCGTGGTGCTCTCCACCCACTCCAACCCCAAAATTCTAAAGTCCAACCGCCGCTCCCGCTATGGCCAGCCTCTCTCCCCCTACGACCAAGACGACGACGACGAGGTCTCTCGTGTTACTGACGTGTCTGACGACGATTGGTTGCTCAATGTAAGTAAATTATGCACCCCCAGTTGTTTGTTTTTCATTAATTCGAGGCATGGATAACAAGAACGCTGTTGCTTCAGTTATGCTGACTTTTGTGTACCCATTTGTTTGTATAGGTCAATTTGTAGATTCAAGTTTTTTTCTTTTAGAATTATTGATTTTTCCGCTCATATTGTTGCTTATTGGATTGAGGTTCATACTGGTTTTATGGGGGTTTTTCTTTGTCCTTTCAAAAAGTTTGCTTTTGTGGGTTCTTGAAAATGTATGCAACAAGCTAAATGTATAATGAAAGACGATGAGTTCGAAAGCATTTCGCATATCGTCACCCAATGTTGGGAAAATTGATTCTTGGGTTGTGATCACTGATCAGTTGTTTATATGTGATACGCTGATGAATGAAATGTTAGTCTGGTATGAATGTATACATGACACAGGAACCTTGCTTTTTGTTTGTTTGACTTTGATCATCGTCTGAATTTTCTGTATGGATTGCTTCTCCAGGATGACTTTGCGGAAATTTCAGACTTTGATGTGAATGGAAAGAGGCCCAAATCCCACAAGGGATTTTCCAACAGTCATTTGGATGGCAGAAACAGCAAGCGCACTCTAGAGAAGAGTGATAAGGAAGACTACTATCATAGACCAAGCAAAACAAAGGAAGTCACTTCCGGGGATGTACCTCGCAAGGGAAAGGTAGCTTGTGGATTGATATGAAGAGATTTCGAATTCTATGATCAACTGTACTAAAACATTTGTACACCATTTGGTACGAAAGTGCTGATTTTTTTTCTTTGATTGCAGCTAGCAACAAGGAAAGCTATGGAGGATAGATTCCCTCGGCTGTCAGAAGATGTCGAATTGGATGAGAAGTGGTTACCCCTTATTGATTATCTATGCACATTTGGGCTTAAGGAATCACACTTTATTCAAATGTATGAGAGGCATATGCCTTCTCTTCAAATAAATGTGTGCTCAGCGAAGGAAAGGTTGGAATATTTGTTGAGTGTTGGTGTCAAACAGAGAGATGTAAGAAGAATGATTTTGAGGCAGCCACAGATCCTTGAATATACAGTTGAGAACAATTTGAAGTCCCATGTTGCTTTCCTGATGAATCTGGGTATTCCAAGTTCCAGGGTCGGGCAGATTATTGCTGCTACACCATCCCTGTTCTCCTATAGTGTTGAGAACTCGTTGAAACCAACTGTGAGATACTTAGTTGAAGAGGTCGGGATTAAGGAAAAAGATTTAGGTAAAGTTGTGCAGTTAAGCCCTCAAATTCTGGTTCAGAGGATTGATATATCATGGAATACGCGTTTGCTATTTCTTTCTAAGGAGATAGAAGCACCCAGAGATAGTATAGTGAAGATGGTTAAAAAACATCCGCAGTTCCTCCACTATAGCATTGATGATGGGCTACTGCCCAGGATCAATTTCCTTAGGAGTATTGGGATGTGTAATTCTGACATCTTGAAAGTTTTAACTAGTCTAACGCAGGTATGCTTACTTTCTGTTATGCCCATTAGAGTATTGATGCATTCTTTCTATTTGGATGTTTCTTGCTTCTTCCCACTTCACAAGTTAATTTCTGAATCTTGACCAAATTTCCTTGTTGATTTCTGACGTATATCCTTGCAGGTACTATCCCTATCACTGGAGGATAATTTAAAGCCGAAGTACAAGTACTTGATAAATGAACTTCATAACGAAGTGCATTCCTTGACCAAATATCCTATGTACCTAAGCTTGTCATTAGACCAGAGAATTCGCCCTCGACATAGATTCTTGGTTTCTCTGAAGAAAGCTCCTAAGGGGCCATTTCCTCTAAGTTCATTGGTCCCAACTGATGAATGCTTCTGTCAACAATGGGCTGGAACTAGCTTAGATAAATATATGGCTTTCCGCCAGAGCTTACTGCTCAAGGAGTTTGCAAAAAAATATGAAAGAAAGGGATAACACCCTCCCTTAAAGTATGTATGAGTTAACTGACACACGTGTTTGATGATCTGAGAATCCTCCCTTAGCAACTTCTGCCGGTAAATTTCAAGGTATGACATTGTTAACAAAGTTGCCATGAAGTTGAGAGTCCCCGCTTATCACGAATCTGGAATAAGAAAATTTCCAGGTTTTTCAGTTTTTTGTTTGGGTGGCTAGCTTGTTTCTCGTATAGAGTATATAGGCTGTCGTTGCGGCACTCCCGTGCCATTATTTGTTTATACAGGAGCTGCTCCAGTTTTGTGTACAAGGTTATGCTCTGAGGTCGAAGCATCTAGATGAGTATTAATTTTTAGGCTCTAACTGCTTATGACGGAAAAGACAAAAGACACTCATCGTGGAGTTCATACTTTTAAGGTAATTTATTTCTAATTGAACAAGAACCATTAGTTGTTTGAGGAATAATTGGTCTGCCATATGAATGTTAACATACTTAATTATCGTTGCTGTATTCCTTCATGTTGGTAAACAATTACAACATTCTGTTACATTGTTCCATTGACTGGCCTTTCTTTAGCCGACCCCACTTAGTGGGAAAAGGCTTTGTTGTTGTTGTTGTTGTTGTTGTTGTTTTATATGATTTCATAGTTTCTAATGATGAATCCATTCATTGGAGGTTGTAGTGTATTTGTATCTTCTCGACACTCAAGTGGACAAACGAGAGGCGTTACTAACTGCATTTGATTTAAAACACAAGGGCCACTCTTGTTTTGTCAGTAGGATGATTCTTGTTGTTCATCCTCAACGATACGCCCAAGACCAGGACGTGTAGCTTATAAAACCATTTTTCTCTCTTTTCTGCTAAAAGTTTTGCATTTATTTATCTGTAACATGCACTTCCGAAGTTTCTGTTTATATTGTTAGTAACCTGACTGCTATATCATTTGTTAAATGTTGATGTGTTTGGCATAGAATGTAGAGCTGTATTTCCAGTCCAAGTTTCATGTGTCGTTCATCCGTGTGTTCAACTGTTGAGGCTTTAGGGATTCAAACCAAACGAGAGCCTTTGTAAGGCCCAGCTACCACCCCTTAGAGCAACTCCAGCGGATGCTGGTTGCTCGGGCGACAGGGGAGGAGAAAGGGCCTGAGGGCCGGTGGGAGCAGCTCCAGCGGGGAAGGGCCCGAGTGAGGGTGGGGGGCCGAGCGAAGGGGGGGTGGGAAGTCGACGGGCCTGTGGCCCGAGGGCTTTGTAATTGTTTATTTATTTTTTGTGTCAGAGAGACACAGAGAGAGAGAGAGGAGGGTTTTTTATTATTTAAACAAACAAAAAAAACTATTATTTTAATTGCTTATTGCCAGGGGGAGGGTTCCAAGGGTGGAGATGTAAATGGTAATTACTGTTCATTAATGGTAGTTACTATTCATTTAAGGCAGTTACTGTTTAATAGGGTGGATTGAATAGTGGATTGCCAGGGAGAAGGGCTCCATGGGTGGAATTGCTCTTAACACTGTCACCACCCCCAACTACCGTTGCGTCAATACCATCTTGTCGCAACGCCCGCAACCCTCAACCTTAAACCCCTCCTCTACTTGGCTTAATCCCTTCACCGCGCAGGCACTCACCATGCTCGCTAGCCCCTCCGACCATGATCTAGCCTCCAGTCGATGTCAGTATCCCCCAATCAATGCTTTGAATTTATATTACAAAAATATAACTACCAATAACGAATTTGCGATGTATATTTCTTTAGCATTTTAAACATTGGCACCTGACACGTTTTTAATATTTTCTTTCTAAAAAAATCATACCGAATTAAACAACTATAACATTCTCACATCTTAAAAATGAAAATTCTTATTTGTCGTTTCCTTTTTGCAAATTGCAACAGTGCTTCAAAAATCATTTTCTAAAACTTAACCAGGCAGACGCTTTCTTCTTTTCATATCTTGATATGGTAAATTTAGACGAAAATTGTAGAACTCCATCTCAAATTTCCAAATTATCCTATACCCTTTTTTCTAAACCTTTTATTTTATTTTTTTACAAGAAAAGATAAGAGTAGCATTTTATTGGTCAACACATATAAATACAGAGGTGTTAATTGGCTTCAGTGATAAGAAAATTGATCGCGAATAAATTTGCAGGGACACACAAAATGAGTAAATGTAACACCCCAACCCCCAATTATGTGTATAATTTTTTTATTCCCCAAAAGGTTTATGAAATTATCAATTTAGTCCATTTCTCTTTTACCCAATGGAAATGCCACGTGGCAGCACCCCAACAAACATCATCTCTCTCTGTTTCCCCTCCCCCGCGTGACTCCTTTCTGTTTCTGTTTCTCTCCCTTCTCTCTCTTATTTCCCTCTTTCACCGAGACGCACATACACACGCATGCACACACCTAATTGCTTACCTGCACAAGGAAGACAATAATAATCATCAAACCTAGTCTTCCTCTCCCTTTCTCTCTCGGCGCAGCTGGGACTGTGGAACCCAGGAACTCTCTTGCGAGTTCCCTTGGTTTTCCGGTCAAATTAGTCTTGGTTGTTGCGTGGTTGAGATATATTAAGCTTTAAATCGTCGTTTTTACAAGGTTTTTGAAGGAAATCGGCTCGGGTGTGCCAAACCCATCTCCGGCGAGCCCGTGGCTGTCGAATGGTTTTCCGGTCACCTTCGACCGTTCTACGGAAAATCAAAGGTATAATCACACTCCTCTCACTTTGTGCGTCATTTTGGTACCTAGAACAGAGTCTAGGGTCGTGGTTTGCAGTCGGCCGGAGCTGGGAAGGCTCCGGCGTTCTTCTCCATTATTTCCGTCAGCACGCAGGCCTTTCAGGCCGTTTAGGACACCCACGGGCCTTGGGCCCGTAGACCCAACCCAAACCATTTTAGTTTTATTTTAATTTTTGTTTTAAAGGCCCACGGGGCCTTGGACCTTTGTTAATTACAGAGGGCTTAAGCCCATCCTTTTCGGCTGTTAGGCCTGCGGGCCGTGCACAGGAGAGTGTGCGTGTGCGCCGTGTGTGTGTGTGTGTTACACACGTGTGGCGTGTGTGCATGTGTAAATGTGCTGTGCATGCAGGTGTATATGTGTGCTGATGTGTGTGTGAATATTTAGTGGGTTTGGGCTCACGCCCAAACCACAATTTTTGTCCCTAAACCTATCCAAAACCAAAACCCAATAGGTCCTAACCTTATTTAACCTAAATCTAAACCCTAATTCTGATCCAAACCCTCAGTCTAGACCCAATTGACCTTTGACTGTTGACTCGGTCAATGGTTAAAGTTGACTTTTAGGGGTTTCGTCCGGGACCTCTCCTAGGCTAATTTCGATGTCCTGGACCCATTTTAGAAGTCCGTTTTCCTAAATTAAATCATTTGAGTAGAGTTTGACTAAGTGTGCTATTTTTGTGCTTAGGGGCAATTGTTGTGATATTTCTGTCATCGCTAGTAGCGTAGTTTTTGGCGGCTAAGTACAGTGAGTGGACCCCTTCTAAAATTATATGAATTTATGGTTTAATTGCATAAATGAATAGCATGTCTTACGAGTTTATGATTTAATTTTATGTTTAGCATGTTTATTGAATATGTTAATTTTCGTCTCGTGTTTTTGGTGAGGAATTAATTGTTAGCCTATATTGAGCTATAGTTTGATATATCGTATTTTCTATAAAAACCATGAACTGGTAGACTATCTGATGGATGACGATAGGATGCTAGAACATGTTTTAGAAACCCCTTTTTATAGTATAAACAATGGATGACTTTATACTATGAAGTGATTATTTTGAGAGGTGTAACTATTTGTGCGTAACTAGTGGACACTATGCTGCTTGGGGCGAGGATCTAGTGTTGGCAGTTAGGCCGGGAGAAATAATCCCTAGTGAAAGGCTGAGGGACACGGAGACAGGCATTGGGCCGGAAGGGAGTTATCTCTGGCTACGGACACAGAGACTTAGGTGCAGGCATTGTCGGGAGTATTATTATTTAGTGATCCTACTAGCAGAACACCGCGCTTACGAGACGATTTGTGAGACTATTGATGCTTTGATTTCTGCGATGTTTTCCACAATATGTCTTTTGAGATGTTCATAGCATGCTAGGGTTTTCAGAGAAACCTATCATTTATTATGCTAGTAGTTTTCATTATTAAAACTTTAGGGGTTAGTATGTTTATAACTGTTTTTGTATTATGTATGTATATAAACTTGGTCCACTCACCCTTGTTTTGCGTCCCCTTTCAGGATTTAGAATCAAGGCATACGATCCCGACGTCAACGCTTTTGCATTGGCATATTCGAGTCCTCTCGATGTAGGACCCACATTCTTTTATTTATTCAATTTTACATTAATTCTTTTAGAACTTTAGTTAGTTGTATACTCTAAACACGTTCCTAAATTATTAATTTATTGTATTTTAAATTCATAATCCTTATTTACTTCTTATCCTTAGCTTTTGTATCAATTAATGGCTTTCGTCCCCCTCGAGTGTCGGCTAGCACATGTCTATCTTGGTATTTGGGGAATATCAGGGTCGGGACGTGTCAGTAAAACCCTTATATGACTACCAGAAACACATCCGTACCATCGCCACCAGTTTAGATTCCGTCACAAATGGTAGACGCCATAAACTTATACCAGCGAACACATCGGTCATCGCTGAAGAACGAGATATAAAGTTATTACAAAGGGCGAGACTATAGAATCATCGTTAAAAGACTTTACCGGCCACATAACTTATTACTCACAAATAATCACATCTAGCCATAGCAAAAGTGCGAACACAATTAGTGCAAGGGTTTTGAAAATATAACCCTTGTTGCACTGGCATTTGGTTGTGAAGTCCTTCAATGTAATTGTCATAACGAAACTGCGGGCCTTTGATCCAGTCTGCGGGTAGAAGCTTACTTATCCATTCCAGGGTCGGTTTGCTTATTCAGATCATATTATGAAACCCCAATAATTAATTAGTTTTGTGAAGTCAATTTCAGAAAATTATGTTTAGCAGTTAAAGGAAGAGAATGAGACAATTAGGATATTTGTGTAAAATTAGGCCGAAGTAGTTCCTTGGTCTGCTTCGAGATTCTGAGGTTTGATTAAATTTTTTGTGTGCTATATTGTCAATTGTAATCTGGTTAAATACTGAAATCATTGTAGCACACTTTTTTTTTTCCCTTCATTTGTTGATATAGTTTTGGAAATATCTTTTAGCCAATTTCTGCAAATTAAATATTGTGTCTTTAACAATGCAGTTATGTATGAAAGTGATCCGTCTTATTTGTTCAAACAAGGAAGAGCCACTGGCATTGAACTGGGAATGTACACAACTAAATCTCATGGAGATGCACTCGCGAAGAACTACTTGCACGATTATTGGCTTATTATCTGCTGCTTCTTAGTTCTTATTGTGGTAGAACTCATTTTATTCCTTTTTTTTAATTCATCATTTTGTGGAGAGATATAGTTTTAATTTAATCATTAAATCCAATTTAACATCAAAATTTTAATATTCCTTTATACTTAATTTGAAGGATTGTTTATTTTTTTTGCCTACCGTAATAGGTTTACTCGGTACTCAGATTTTAAGGATTAACTTATATGAGTTTGGTTAAGCGGTTTAGCCAAACAAGGTGTTTGCAATAACAATTGCAGAATTTATATTAGAAACTAAAGTCGCGCATTGCGTACTTGATTTTTTTTAAAAAAAAAGCCTCTCGCGTGCATAAAGTGCATGATTGCAGAGAGAGGCTAGTTATTAAGAAAGTAGCAGAAAAGAGTCATAAGCATATATAGCATTCTTTGTTATTTGGCTAGGGTGTATATACTTTGAACCCTCAAAAAGTGGATCGCCAGCCTCATGTACAAAACCACGTGCTGATTACTTGGATGCTACTTATACATGTAGATTACTTGCGATGTGAGAATGGTTGCCATCAAATATATATAAAGAGACTGAACAAATATTTCTACTTCTTCATCTTCTTCTTCCTAGCTAGAATTGCTAAACAAATCATTTGTACTCTTGCAGAGCCATTTTTCTTGTGTAGGCTTCAATATGATGGTAACCGATCAGTTCAAAATAAAATTTTAAAATCAACACTCATGCTTGCGTACGTGTTAATTGTCAGTTGTTGATCTATGTGATTGTTATAATAATCTTGACAGTTCTCCTATATTTTGTTAAAAAGTTTGCTGATTATTTTCTATTTATGATTAGAGAAACTAACTAATCGTTTCCTAAAGTATATTAATTATTTTGTTGTTGAAAATTCTCCATGTATTTCCTTCTCTCTCCATATAAAAGATTGATCAATTTTGATTTTTTTGTTATGGATTGAAAGACTTATGAGTGCGTTTTGATCAATTTAAAAATAATTTTGTTAGTTATTTTTTCAACACAAGGTTAGAAGCCTAGAAAAAAAAAACTATTAAGTTATGTCGTACCAGGAGAGTCTGTTTTATATGACTAAAATGATCATATGTTTGAATTAATTCCGCAGCAAAAGATTGTCATTGAGGTGCAGATGAGAAGCAGAAGACGTCGTGCCAAGGCCATGAAGATAGCTGCTGTCGCTGATGGTGCCTATACTACTACTGCTCATATTTTTTAATGTCTTCATTATCTTTAAAAAATTTAATAGTATATTTACTTCATTAATTTACAAAAACAAAAAGAATTATGGCACGTAAACATATTTTTACGGGGATTTAAGAATGAAATTCGTTATTTATAATATTTGTAGGTGTTAATCCAGTGGCTTTCAATGAGGAAAAGAAAGACCAGATGGTAATAATTGGAGATGGAATTGATGCAGCTAGCGTAGCTCTCTCTTTGAGGAAGAAGGTTGGCCATGCTACCTTAGTGACCGTGGAAGAAATAGTACTGGAAGATATATGATATTTTAGAAACTGAAAAAAGGAAAAAAGAAAAAAAGAGGAGCCATGGATACACTAGTAGAAAAACATGTTTGCGCGACGGAATTTTGCGCGACGGATCAAATTTCGTCGCGTAAAGTATGTTTGCGCGACGTATGTGTACGTACGTCGCGCAAACAACCTTTGCGCGACGCATTCTGGAGTCGAGCAAAACAACTTTGCGCGACGCAAGAACTGTTGGGTCGTGCAAAGCTGTTTTGCTCGACGACAGCATGCGTCGCGCAAAGTGCCGTCGCGCAAAGGTTGTTTGTGCGACGTATGTGTACTTACGTCACGCAAAGTTGACTTTGCACGACGAAGACTTGCGTCGCGCAAAGTCAATGAATTTTTCTGCTCCACTTAATCAGTTTGGGAGGCGGAAACTGCAAACCCAGTTGCAGCAGCTACCTCCCTCCCCCATCTCTCTTCAAAACCTTCTCCAATTCCTCCCTTGCTCATAAATTCAACATACATATAGTTTCATATCTTTTCATCATGCAATCCCTCCCTTGCTATTTAATGGTCTTTGATTTGGAGTAAGCAGATCTAATTTAGCTGTTGAGAATTGATTTTTTTTTTTAAAGAAACGTGAATTGAATACTTTTGATTGCTTATATATATGAAGTTTCAATCATTTGTTTTGAATGTTTATTGTATAACGGTATAGAATAAGTTGAATTTGATGAGAGAATGCTTGTTATTTGTTGCAGCTTTATATTTATTTATTTTGTACTCATAAGGAAAAGGGCAAAAAAAAAAAAAGGGGACTTTGCATTGCCTTTTTCTTTTGTGGTATCCACTTGTGTAAATGTTTTAAATTCACGATCGAATTTGTTCATTGTATTCATATAGGGTTAAAGAGTGTAACTGTAAAAAATCATCAAAATCGGAGGTTAAATAACCGTTAAATTGGTAATTTTTTTTGTAGCCGTCGAAAAGGTTTGTCCCGTTACTTAATCTCTAAATGTTTGTTTTTTGCGATTTTTTGCGTATGCTATCTCGAAGCATATACAAACAAATTTGACGGTTGGATCGTTCAAACTAGTTTCGTACAATGCGTATCCCATCAAGTTCAATGTTATATATATATTTACTAAGTAGATTTTAATTTATTTATTTTGTACTTATAACACTTAAGAAATTGAATGATATATATGTAAAAAAAATTAGATGTTGAGAATTGAATTTTTTTTTTTTTAAGAAACGTGAATTGAATACTTTTGATGGCTTATATATATGAAGTTTCAATCATTTGTTTTGAATGTTTATTGTATAACGGTATAGAATAAGTTGAATTTGATGAGAGAATGCTTGTTATTTGTTGCAGCTTTACATTTATTTATTTTGTACTCATAAGGAAAAGGAAAAAAAAAAAGGGGACTTTGCGCGACGCATGTGTTCCTACGTCGCGCAAAGCCATTTTGCGCGACGTATGTACGACTGCGTCGCGCAAAGTCCCTTTTTTTTTTTCCATCTCTCTTTTGCTTTTCTTTTGGGGTTCTTGCATTGCCTTTTTCTTTTGTGGTATCCACTTGTGTAAATGTTTTAAATTCACGATCGAATTTGTTCATTGTATTCATATAGGGTTAAAGAGTGTAACTGTAAAAAATCATCAAAATCGGAGTTAAAATAACCGTTAAATTGGTAATTTTTTGTTTATAGCCATCGAAAAGGTTTGTCCCGTTACTTAATCTATGAATGTTTGTTTTTTTCCATTTTTGGCGTATGCGATCTCGAAGCATATACAAACAAATTTGACGGTTGGATCGTTCAAACTAGTTTCGTACAATGCGTATCCCATCAAAACATTAGATTGACTAACACTTGGAGTTTATTTATACTTCTATTAAGTATAACATAAGATTTTGTGGTATTCACTTGTGTAAATGTTTTAAATTCACGATCGAATTGGTTCACTGTATTCATATAGGGTTAAAGAGTGTAGCTATAAGAAATCATCAAAATCGGAGTTAAAATAACCGTTAAATTGGTGATTTTTTGTTAATAGTCGTCGAAAAGGTTTGTCCCGTTACTTGATCTCTGTATGTTTTTTTTTTACGATTTTTGGCGTATGCGATCTCGAAGCTTATACAAACAAATTTGACGGTTGGATCGTTGAAACTAGTTTCGAACAATGCGTATCCCATCAAAATATTATATTCACTAACACTTGGAGTTTATTTATACTTTCATTAAGTATAACATAAGATTTTGTGTTATCCACTTGTGTAAATGTTTTAAATTCACGATCGACTTGGTTCACTGTATTCATATAGGGATAAAGAGTGTAGCTGTAAGAAATCATTAAAATCGGAGTTAAAATAACAGTTAAATTGGTGATTTTTCGTTTATAGCCGTCGAAAAGGTTTATCCGGTTACTTGATCTCTGTATGTTTGTGTTTTGCCATTTTTGGCGTATGCGATCTCAAAGCATATACAAACAAATTTGACAGTTGGATCGTTCAAACTAGTTTCGTACAATGCGTATCCCATCAAAACATTAGATTCACTAACACTTGGAGTTTATTTATACTTTCATTAAGTATAACATAAGATTTTATGGTATCCACTTATGCAAATGTTTTAAATTTACGATCGAATTGGTTCATTGTATTCATATAGGGTTAAAGAGTGTAGCTGTAAAAAATCATCAAAATCAGAGTTAAAATAACCGTTAATTTGGTGATTTTGCGTTTATAATCGTTGAAAAGGTTTGTCCCGTTACTTGATCTTTGAATGTTTGTTTTTTGCGATTTATGGCGTATGCGATCTTGAAGCATATACAAACAAATTTGACGATTGGATCGTTGAAACTAGTTTCGTACAATGCGTATCCCATCAAGTTCAATGGTATATATATTTACTAAGTAGATTTTAATTTATTTATTTTGTACTTATAACACTTAAGAAATTGAATGATATATATGTAAAAAAAATTATTGTGGGTTTTTGTTAGAAAAATATATTATTGTGGTGTTTATGTTTAAAAATTTTGAATTTGAAATGAGGAAAGTCACATTTTCAGTAATTTTTATAATAATTTTTTTTTTAAAAAAAACCTTGCGCGACGCCTTAATACGTTCGTTGCGCAAAACTACTTTGCGCGACGTCAACTTGTATACCTCCGTCGCGCGAGTTGTGATAAATTTGGCGGCCCAATATTGAAAAATAGGCGCTTTTTTTTCAATTCTCCCTCTTTCTTTCCTGTGAACTCCAAACCTGAACCCTCCCTCTTTCTTTCCCTCTTTATTTCTGAGTTGTGATAAATCTGAACCCTCCCTCCTTCTTTCCCCTTCTTTCGAACCCAATCTTGAACCCTCCTTCTTTCCCCGTAGACCCCAAATCTCCCTTTCTTTCTTTCCCTCATTCTTTCCCCTTCTTTCGAACCCAATCTTGAACCCTCCTTTCCCCGTAGACCCAAAATCTCCCTCTCTTTCTTTTCCTCTTTCTTTCCCTCGATTTACTGAAACAAAAGTAGGAAGGAGAAACTGTTTGATCATCAACGACTGGATTTCACGACAACGAGTCCGCGGCTGGGTTTCACGACAACGAGTCCGACTCGGAATGAGTCGAATCGGGTATTGGGCCGTGGAAGGGACTTTTTAGTTTCTTCTTTTTCTTCTGTAGGTGTATGGGTAAGGAAGGGACTTTTTAAATATTTGGTGGAAGTTTCTGTAGGTGTATGGGTAAGGAAGGGACTAATTAGGAACAAAGAGTGGGGTTAGGAGGTAAGTCCATATCTTCCTCAGTCAGAGTAATATTCAAATTAGGGAAAAGACAAGTCCTCACTATATTTCCTTTACATTTCCTTATTTGAGCACGTTAAGCGGCTTCTGCTTGCGTTATCTTTAATTAACATTTCCATTTAAACAGGCTCAGAGGATTGGCATGATCAACACACTGCAAGAAATGTGTAATGCTCGTGGAAACACCTGAACAGCCTGGCATGTGACTCTGCTTTGTTTTCTCTGGAAAGAATTTTGTTTCGTTATGAGTAATTATCGATGTGTTGCAGTTAATGATCTTTTTCATATGCCACCCATGCTGGGAAGTTCGAAGAATGAATTATGACACAACCAGAAGGATAGTTTCTGCTGCTCTGCAATTGACTGAACCTCTTTTAGTTGAATTCATGAATTTCACGTCTGTAGTTGAAGAGAAACTTTGTATTTCAAAGTTAAGGTGCAACTGTTTTTTATATACGCCACTTATCCTTTTTAATTCTTTCCATTGGGGTGGGTGCAGGCAGAATAAGCATCTTGAACCTTGACCATCATTGTTAAGTTCGGTTTGTTCTTCTTATGGTTCTGTAGCTTTAGTTGATGCTGTTGGTTCTTCCTTTCAATCATATTTAAATATACTATTAAGAAAACATGTCAATTAAGAAAACCAAGTACTGGAAGATTACTTCTCTTCCATGCAAGGCTCATAAAGTTTTTAAAACTTATTTGGAAACTGCGTCCATTAAGTTTTTGCCTATGTTTTGACAATAAGTCATGAGACTCTGAGAGTTAGGTTTTCTTCCCTCTTTTACTGGTAAAAAATATATGTTCATATAGAGTTGTGTGCCTTCCTATGCTAATTTTCATCTATTGTGGCATAGTGAAAATTCCGGTTGCATTTTTGAGCTGATTTGTTTGGTTCTTTTGGTCTTCAGAGGCAACGAAGATGTATGCATGCATGTGGTTTTGACATCATTAGCAATATTTTGGCCGATGTGGACTGACCTTTTCAATAGGATTTTGAAAACGAAGAAGATGCCAAATGAGTGGCGAATGAGCACTTTGGTGCCTATCTACAAGAATAAGGGCGACGTACAAAATTGCATGAACTATAGGGGTATTAAGCTAATGAGTCATACAATGAAGCTCTGGGAGAGAGTCATTGAGCATAGATTGAGGCAAGAGACACGGGTTTCGGACAACCAATTCGGGTTCATGCCAGGGCGCTCAACCATGGAGGCAATCTATCTCTTACGAAGATTGATGGAAAGATATAGAGATGGGAAAAAGGATTTACACATGGTCTTTATAGATTTGGAAAAAGCGTATAATAGGGTCCCAAGAGACATTCTTTGGAGGATTTTTAGAGAAGAAAGGAGTACGAGTAGCATATATCCAAGCTATAAAGGATATGTATGAAGAAGCAAAGACTGCCGTAAGAACTCATGAAGGACAAACCGAAAGCTTTCCCATAACTGTAGGATTACATCAAGGCTCATCCTTAAGTCCTTACCTTTTTGCGTTGGTAATGGATGAGTTAACAGGACATATTCAAGATGATATTCCTTGGTGTATGCTTTTCGCAGACGATATAGTGTTGATAGATGAAACTCAGGAAGGGGTAAATGCAAAGCTTAACCTTTGGAGAGAAGTGTTGGAATCTAAAGGTCTTCGCCTAAGCCGATCAAAGACAGAATATATGGAGTGCAAGTTCAGTGCAGAATGGAGGCCAAAACGAGTTAGGGGTGAGGATCGGAGATCAAGAAATACCAAAGAGCGACCGTTTTCGTTACCTAGGATCTATCTTGCAAAAAGAACGGAGAATTAGATGGAGATCTCAACCATAGAATACAAGCTGGATGGATGAAGTGGAAGAGTGCATCCGGCGTGTTGTGTGACCGCCGTATGCCACTGAAGCTCAAGGGAAAATTTTATAGGACGGCAATAAGGCCGGCGATGCTGTATGGCACAGAATGTTGGGCGGTGAAAACATCAACACGTACACAAAATGGGTGTAGCGGAGATGAGGATGCTTCGTTGGATGTGTGGGCACACGAGAAAGGATAAGATTAGGAATGAGGATATCCGGGGTAAAGTAGGAGTAGCCGAAATTGAAGGAAAGATGAGAGAAAATCGGTTACGGTGGTTTGGACATGTGCAAAGAAGGCCTACTACTGACGCTCCCGATTAGAAGATGCGACTATGGGACAGAGGTTCAGGGCCGAAGGGGTAGAGGAAGACCTAGGAAAACTTTGGAAGAGACTCTAAGAAAAGACTTAGAGTACTTGATCTAACGAAGGACATGACACAAGGATCGAGCACAATGGCGTTCTAAGATTCATATATAGCCGATCCCACTCAGTGACTTGGATTTTCCAAGTCTCCAACCGAGAAGTTTTCCTCACTCGGGAAATTAAGGGAACACTACCCCAACCTACATGCTCCACTCAGAAAGCTTCAACATACAAGCTTCAACAAAAAGAAAATTCAAAGAACTTAGCGAAGAAGGCTTTGGTGTATTTAACACAATACGTTGAAATGAAGGAAAGCTTATTTATTGATATCCCCGATAAGCTACAAATATGTACATATACATGAGTCAAAATAAACACACAAGAGGGAGCCTTCACAAAGGTTGCTTAGGAGAAGTCTCAGCAGTCGGTAGAGCCCCAGAAAGAGAAGGCACCGGAGGGGGATCATTTGGAGCCTCAGTACTGGACAGAACCCTAGAAGGAGGAGGCATCAGAGGTTGATCATTTGGAGCTTCATTACGCGGTACAGCCCCAGAAGACGAAGGCAATAAATGCCTTTGGAACAAACCCACAAATCTCTGATGATCAAGTAAAACCTGACCATCAGTTTCCTTCATCTGGTCAAGCTTCCTCTTCATGTTTGTAGCATAGTCATGTGCGAGCCGGTGCAACTGTTTATTCTCATGCTTGAGCCTTCTAATCTCCTGTTTGAGACTCATCACTTCAGCCGCCAATGATTCAACTTGGCGGGTTCGAGCAAATAGGCGTTGGGCCATATTAGACACAGAACCTGCACACTGAACACTGAGAGCCAGCGAATCCTTAACAGCTAACTCATCAGACCGTTTGGAAAGTAGTCTGTTATCTTTGGGAGTGAGAAGGTTCCTGGCCACCACCGCAGCGGTCATATCATTCTTCATCACGGAATCCCCAACGGTAAGAGGACCAGTAGGGGAGACGAAGGATGGGCGCCATATGTTGTCTGGAGAAGGCGGGGCTGCCTCTTCAACAAGGTTCAAGTCAAAACGACGGTCGGAGGGGCCAGACATTTTCAAAGGTGTTGAAGAGAGAAGAGGTCGGACAAATCAAGATCTTAGAAGTGCAAGAATGAAGCTTCTACTGGTGGAGATTCAAGTGTGCTTTGGAACTTAATGCCAGCCCCTATAAAAATCTGCACTCGACGGAGCTTCAGAAATCGAAGAGGCGCTGCTCAGAAATCGAAGAGGCGTTTGCTTTCTCAAAAGCTGGGCTGCTTAGAGATCACGAGGGTTGATCTCAGAAATCGAAGAGGCGTTTGTTTTCTCAAAAGTTGGGCTGCTCAAAGACCACGAAGGCCGATCTCAGAAATCGAAGAGGCGCTCGCTTTCTCAAAAGCTGGGCTCCCCAGAGACCACGAGGGCCGATCTCAGAAATCGAAGAGGCACCTACTTTTCCAGCCTTGTCAGCACCTGTCACACGCACACTCAGCTTTGCGGAAATTATGGGCATTCTGTCGAAGACTTCTGGGGAAGTAGAAAACACATGAATCTTACTGTTCAATCACCCACTTCCCACACGCAACAATAGCTCATGGGTACCACAGATAACTTTGCCAAAGTTCTCTGCCAAAGTTGAGCACGTGAAGCTTGCAGCTCCCACTACATCGCTCTGACCAAGAAGGGTAAAAGAATAGCAAAGAAACAGCACTAACAAAGTTTAGACCCATAAATTTTGAAGGTCTAGCTACCATATTATTACCCACAAGGGTAAAGGAACAGTACCACTGCTGGATAATTGGAAAGTCCCTGTGTGTCAACCTCTGTGCTTCGTGGCAAGGTAGACTAGCAAACATGCCCAACCTTTACTCACATTCGAGAAAACACTCCCAATAAGATTGCTTGTTCCAAAATCGAAGAGGCACCGTCCTCCGAATCTCGAGAGCCAGACTCCCAACATGACTACTTTCTTAAAAATCGAAGAGAGGGTAAAGGAACAGTACCATTGCTGGATAATTGGAAAGTCCCTGTGTGTCAACCTCTGTGCTTCGTGGCAAGGTAGACTAGCAAACATGCCCAACCTTTACTCACATTCGAGAAAACACTCCCAACAAGATTGCTTGCTCCAAAATCGAAGAGGCACCGCCCTCCGAATCTCGAGAGCCAGACTCCCAACATGATTACTTTCTCAAAAATCGAAGAGACACTGCTCCCCGAATCTTCGAGAGCCAGACCCCCAGCATGATTGCTTTCTCAAAAATCGATGAGGCATCGTTCTCCGAATCAATCGAAGAGGCGCTCGCTTTCTCAAAAGCTGGGCTGCTCAGAGACCACGAGGGCCGATCTCAGAAATCGAAGAGGCACCTACTTTTCTAGCCTTGTCAGCACCTGTCACACGCACACTCAGCTTTGCAGAAATTATGGGCATTCTGTCGAAGACTTCTGGTGAAGTAGAAAGCACATGAATCCTTACTGTTCAATCACCCACTTCCCACACGCAACAATAGCTCATGGGTACCACAGATAACTTTGCCAAAGTTCTCTGCCAAAGTTGAGCACGTGAAGCTTGCAGCTCCCACTACATCGCTCTGACCAAGAAAGGTAAAAGAATAGCAAAGAAACAGCACTAACAAAGTTTAGACACATAAATTTTGAAGGTCTAGCTACCATATTATTACCCACAAGGGTAAAGGAACAATACCACTGCTGGATAATTGGAAAGTCCCTGTGTGTCAACCTCTGTGCTTCGTGGCAAGGTAGACTAGCAAACATGCCCAACCTTTACTCACATTCGAGAAAACACTCCCAACAAGATTGCTTGCTCCAAAATCGAAGAGGCACCGTCCTCCGAATCTCGAGAGCCAGACTCCCAACATGACTACTTTCTCAAAAGCGAAGAGAGGGTAAAGGAACAGTACCATTGCTGGATAATTGGAAAGTCCCTGTGTGTCAACCTTTGTGCTTCATGGCAAGGTAGACTAGCAAACATGCCCAACCTTTACTCACATTCGAGACAACACTCCCAACAGGATTGCTTGCTCCAAAATCGAAGAGGCACCGCCCTCCGAATCTCGAGAGCTAGACTCCCAACATGATTACTTCCTCAAAAATCGAAGAGACACTGCTATCCGAATCTCGAGAGCCAGACCCCCAGCATGATTGCTTTCTCAAAAATCGAAGAGGCATCGTTCTCCGAATCTCGAG